TGAAGATAGCTGGAATGTTACTGTAGATCCCCAACTTTTATGGCTAAACCACTCTGGAGTTACATCTCCAGGGAGGCAGAAACTAGATGGCTCGACTACAACATCAGGCAGCTGTTACACAATCCAAATAGCATCATTTTAAAATAAGATGAAGGAAAGAAAAAGGTACATCAGAGGTTGAAGAAACAGACCTGAAGGTCCGCCAAGAATTTATAGGTCCTACGCATGACAGAATAATCCTCCCATCTATCAGCTTGGAACCTTGCTCTCTTGGCTTGGAACCTTACTTCCAATTCATCTCGATCTAGAGGATAAAAACGAGAGGAGTCTGACATTATCAAATGAAAGCGTTGTATCTTATCTTCATCATTGGCATGCAGTAGACGGAGCCCAAACTCCCCGCCGTCATACAGTAGATGGACCCCACACTCAACCACATAACAACCATATAAATTGTTTTCCAGGTGGAATTCAACTGAGACCTCGCTATATTCACTAAACGTATCCCTTTCTTTGGCAACCACACAGGGATCAAATCCCATGAATATGCATGCTGAGTCGATGCCCTGGTCATCAAACCAACCATGGAGATACCAATCGAGGTCACAGCTATCACCATGCTTATTGCGGAAGTGATATGTGCATTTAACAAGCAAACCATAACTGACAGAACCAAATGCAATGACTGCGCAAAGAGAGAAACCCAAGAACTTGCTATTAGTCCAATTTGAAGATAGCTGGAATGTTACTTTAGATCCCCAACTTTGATGGCTAAACCACTCCGGAGTCGCATCTCCAGGGAGGCAGAAACTAGATGGCTCGGCTACAACATCAGGCAGCTGTTACACAATTCAAATAGCATCTTTTTAAAATAAGATGAAGGAAAGAAAAAAGTATATCAGAGGTTTAAGAAACAGACCTGAAGGTCCGCCAAGAATTCATAGGTCCTACACATGACAAAATAATCCTCCCATCTCATGCCTTGGAACCTTGCTCTCTTGGCTTGGAACATTGTTTCCAATTCATCACCATTCACAGGGTAAAAACAAAAATAGCCTGACCTGATCAAATCAAAGCTATGTATCCCATCTACATACAGTAGACGGACCCCACACTCATGTACTTGACAAAGATCTAATGGTAAGGGATTTCCGTATATAAATTCTGGTTGGAACTCAACAGAGACCTCACTGTATTCACTAAACATATAATCTTCTCTGGCAACCACACAGGGATCAAACCACACCAATATGTGTGCTGAGTCGATGCGCTTCTCGTCATACCAACCATGGAGATAGCAATCGAGGTCACGACTATCACCACGCTTATTGCTGAAGTGATATGTGCATTTAACTTGCAAACTATGGCCGACAGAACCAAATGCAATGACAGCGCAAAGAGAGAAACCCAAGAACTGGCTATTAGCCCAATTTGAAGATAGGTGGAATGTTACTGTAGATCCCCAACTTTGATGGCTGAACCACTCCGGAGTCGCATCTCCAGGGAGGCAGAAACTAGATGGCACAGCTGGAACATCGGGCAGCTGTTAACACAAGTCAAATAGCATCTTTATTAAATGAAAGGTGGCAAATGGAGAAAAAAAAGATGTATATCAGAGGTTTGAGAAACAAACCTGAAGGTATAACCTTTTGGTGTAAAGTTGAAATTTCAATAATGAGTACGCCAAGATTTGATTGATCCAACGCAATCTCGAGCAATTAGTGAAAATGAATTCAAAAATGTTCCCCTTAACTACATTTGATGAGCTTAATTCTAGATAATTCAAACTCTCGCAATTGTCTGCATCCAACTTTGATAGCCGTGGTGGAAGCTCCGGTAATGATTCAAGTTTCTTGCAATTCCTTAATCCTAGATATAGCAACTCCAAGAGTTTATTGATGCTTATAGGTATTCTCCGAAAATCGTTTCCGCTTAGATCTAACACTTCCAGTGACGATAAACAACCAAGACTATCCGGCACTTCCGATAGACTGCAACCATCTAGATTTAGCTTACGCAAACAATCTAAATCCACGCCTCTCTTGGGCAATTGCAAGTCACCAAGACATTCGATGTTTATTAGATCTTTGCAGTTTCCCAGTTCCAAGCAGGCAAGTTCCTTCAGATTTCCAATCGGTGAAGGCAACTTTGTTATGCGTGTCTGTTTTAAATAGAGATATCTCAAACATACCATCGGCTCCAAAACTTCTGGAAAATCCCTAAATTGGAGGCAACCTGAGAGATTAAGCCTTGGCAGTTTTCTCAACTTGCAGATGCTGCTTGGAAGAATCTCAAATTGTTTGCAGTCTTGCAGGTGCAATTCAGCAAGATCAAACAAACATTCTATTGAGGAGGGAATCTCTCGTATTGCTGTCCCATTTAAATACAGCTCCTTTAAATTATTTGAAACCTTTGGAAACTCCGTGATACTTGAGCAGCCAGAAAGATTTAGTTTTTCAAGCCATACTAACTTAGAAACCGCACTCGGCAGATTCTTCAGCCTGTTGCAGCCAGCTAGATATAAATAAAAGAGTTTCCATAGATCACCAATTGAAGATGGCAGTTCTTCTATTGCAGTTCCATCCAAGTACAAGTATCTTATATCACTTGAAAAATCAGGAAGCCTGCTGATAGAAGAGCAGCCAGAGATGTCAGCAATTAGAAGAGATGTCAGCAAATACATGTTTTCTGGAAGATTCACTAGGAGTTTGCAGTTCTTCAAATTCAACGTCTCAAATCCACTGAGTTCCCCAATTGATCGGGGAAGCTCATCAATAGCAGTCCCATTTAAATTTAAATATGTCAGTTTCCTTGCAGTTTCTGGGCACTTCTTGAGATTTGCACAACCAGAAAGGTTCAGAGTCTCTAGACAACTTGAATTAATTCTACTGGGAAGATTGATTAGTCTTTTGCAGCCTCTCAAATCTAAATCAACAAGCCTGTCCAGATGCTGAATAGATGAAGGAACCTTAACCAAACTTGTACAGAATTGAATAGACGAAAATTGCTAGGCAAAGATGTCAAAGGGTATCCATCCCAATGGAGATACCTCAACTCTTCAGAAAGATACTCGAGGCCATGAGGAAGGTGCACTCTGCATTTAACTCCAGCTTCAGAATTATAAATTTTTAGCAGTCTAAGTTTATACATCCTTTTCAAGGCTGTAGAACTCAACTCGATTTCTCTTATTTTTGAAACATCCAAGAATATCCCTTCAACTTTTCCAGTTCCCTGAAAACCAGTGAAGGAGAAACAAAGTTTTAAGTAAGATTTTAAACTTACTAGTACAACCATATTGCATTGCATATGAAAGGGAAAACTTTCAGGGTATATGAATCTCACCAGATTATTGGTCAACACTTGATATACATCTTTAGGACTCCACAATCTGCTTTGTCCTCCTAGCTCGTCAAGAGATTCTTTTCGAACAACTTCATGGGCCATTTCTTGCAAAAGATCATGCATTTCAACCTTGTCATCTGAAATTTTAATGAGACACCTGTCAATGAGAACACTAAATCCAATATCTGTTTTGAAACCGCAGCCATCTAGTATCCGCTTCACAAAATCAACTCGATGCCCTCTAAAGAAACATGCAATGTCGAGAAATATACTCTTCTCTTCACTATCAAGTGCTTCATAACTTATTCTCAACACGCTATGAACTTTTTGCCGAGTTAGTTTTTCAACGTTATTAAATGCACTTTCCCATTCTTCTGTCGTTCTGCCAAATAGAAAGGAACCTAAGACTTTAAGAGCTAATGGATTCCCTTTAGCGTAATTTATTGCCCTCACAGACAGGTCCATAAATTTTTTTGGGCTCTGGTTATCCTTAAATGCATGCAAACTAAAGAGATGAAGAGCTTCCTGGTAATTCAGTCCCCCAACCTCAAATATTTTGTCTGAATATTTCTTAAGGACCTGTTTATCTCTAGATGTTAGGATAATTCTACTTCCTGGACCAAACGACTCACATCCTCCAAGTAACATTTCAATTTGATCTACATCATTCACATCATCGAAAACAATCAGAATCTTTTTACGGCAGATCCTGTCTTTAATGAAAGGGAGTCCAATACGTGGAGTGCGAATATGTAGATTTTCTTCCTCTGTTATTTTAGAGAAAAGTTCATCTCGCATACGAAATAATCCTCCATTCTTTTCTGATTCCTCCCTCACATTTGCAAGAAAATAGTGACCTTCATATTCCCTTGCGATCTTGTTGAAAATCTCTCCAGCTATGGTTGTCTTACCAGTACCACCCATGCCCCAAATTCCTACAAAACAAACCTCCGGTAACTGTGTGCATAACAAGGCTTCGATTTGCTTCATACGTGAATCCATTCCAACCAGGCCCTTCAAATCACTTGAGGATGCATAATTCAATTTCTTCAAAATATGTTGCACAATTTGATCCACGAGTCTCGACTCAGGCCTGCCAACATGGAGGCGAACAGATATGTCAAATAGTACCCCAAAGAAACACAATCTTTTCTTGAGTTTGGAACTTGTGAGACGGATTCCAATTGCCATACATTATCACACTACATACATGTGAAATCTAATCCCAATCACTTGCAAGTAATTCTTTTTCTAAATTTACAGATGCATGGAAAAACTATACTTTAAACTGCTCATTTGGGAACATTTAGAAGTCACATTAACATATTATAAAGCTCAAAAGATATGCTTCTGAATCCAAAAATATGATTATCAGCTTCAAGAAATTTTAATTGCTATAAATAAATTTTAATTGCTATAATTCCAGAAAAAAAGGTTGAAGATGAGAATCTATAGTTACCTAGTAACCTGTGAATCCCATCCGGATATATTGGCAGCACTTGTTAAGTCAGCTCTCCACCTTGGAACCTTGTCCATCTTCTGCTTAAAATTTCTTTCAAGCTCAGCAAACGCATTCCCAAAACTCCCTGTCTGTTCATCAACATCAGACGGGTCCACATGATAGAAAACTGGTAAAACAATCTGCCCGTATGCCTTCTTGCATTCAAGTATCTTCACCAGTTCATCCACACACCATGGAGAAGATGCATAGTTTCTTGAGAATATTATCACTGAAATTCTCGATTCTTCAATTGTTCTCAGAAGTGCACCCGTAATTTCTTCTCCTCTTTCAAGCCCGTCGTCTATGAAGGTCTTGATTTGTTTACGACACAGAGCATCATAGAGATGACTGGTAAAATTATTGCGCGTATCCTTGCCTCTAAAACTAAGGAACACATCATACTTCCTTTTATGAGCAACAGCAGATGAAGATGCCATATCAGACTGTTAACATATCGTGTCTTCCTCAATCACTAAGAATCGGAATCAATAAGTGCTCTCCCTTTTCTCCTAAAGACATACAAAGAGCACCCACTTCAAATTGAAGTCTAAGAGTACAAGAACCCACACAATATATATTTGTCTGAAAATTCCTCAAACTCTTAACGATGGATATAAACTAGCTTAATTTGATATGATCTATCTTAATTTGATCACTCGTCACTTGCTACCAATGCTAGCTTTCTATTACTTTCATTGCAAGAACAGTCACTAGCTGAGCAAAAAGAACTAATACGTTCATGAAACAAACTTATAAAACTCGTATATATAATATTAAATATAGAAGACGCATGAACCAGAAAGACTTACCAACAGATCGTAAGAACAGTTGACATGTGTTTTCCTTCAGCTAACAAGACGTAGAAGAAGCTGAATATTGTTGATGATAAGAGACGATTTTTCATGTCTATTGCCTTCTCCTACTCCTTCAAGTCAGACAATCTGATCTCATCGTTATCTAAATTAAAGATGGTTTGATCAAGAAACAGGAGAATGTGAGAAGACTTTGGGGTCAATACTATTTTTTTTATTGACGTTGATGTACAGTTCAATTTATGGTGCTAATTTACGTGCACCATGAATAATTTCATGGGATGACAAGTATATAAAATATCAACATTATGGGATATAATAAAGTCCTCCACTGGACTAAGATCTCAAATACAGTCTATACCAATTATTGATCAAGAAACAGGTGCGTGTGAGAAGACTTTGGTGATACATATCGAAAGACTATTTAGAAATATATACCAACTTTGTAAAAATATATATTTTATAATTGATGATAAAATAATGTTCATTTCATCCTTTTACTCTCTCTTTTTCAGTTTTTCCCGTAATAATAATAATAAATTATTGATGAAGATTCAATTGAACTTGGTATTTTTTTTAAGTTTTTAAATATACTTTAAAAATAATTTTATAATATTTAAATTTTTTTATTAACTTATGTTAACACTTATAAACTATTTTGTTTTTAACAAAAAAATATTAATTAAAAACATTTTTTGATTAAAATAAATCAGAAGGACATTAATAATAAAAATTCTCTTAATAAATAATTTTTTAAAAATTAAATTTTAAAATTTAATAATAATACTAAAATATTATTACCCCCCCCCCGGCAAAAAGGAAAAGATCTGAAACATGTTGGGAGTGGTTTCCCAGACCCCCCCCCAGCAAAAAGTTAATGAAAACCGCGCATCTCAAAGAATTTTCAACTAAATGATGCTTTTTAACAAAAATGCCCTCCTAACGTTTGATTATGTCAATTATGTCCTGTATCAGCTACCTAAACTTCTCCCAATTTGTAAATTAAGGATGTTTAGGATCATTGTATAACACGCACAGTAAGCATCTTGCTAATCTCATTTTTATATTATTATTGCTAAGTGTATATTTTATATTATAATATATGCTATTTTTTAAAAGTATTTTTATTTAAAAATATATCAAAATAATTTTTGTATTTTTTATATGAGTACATTAAAATTACCAAAAAAAGCTAAAATAAAACATTAACTTATTTTTTAAGAAAATATATTTTTAAAAAGCTTCCAAAATAAAATTTACTTAATTCCAAACACCTCTAAATGTCTTTATTTACATGTAAGCTGTTACTCTTTGAAATGTCATCACTTTCTCTTAGAATAAACAAGCGAATTTCAACTTAGTTATCTAACAAAAACAACAGGAGTGGCCGGCAGGAGCCCCAGCCCGTGCAAAAATTATTTTTTTCCCTGCCTTTCTCTTAAATAATTATAAATTTTAGCTCTATAATTATTAAATTTTAACTCTTGCCCTTTCTAATTTTTTTTTTAATTTGGTCCTCCCATTCTAATGCGCCGGCTCCACTCCACCTCTGGAAACAGCCTCAAAAAAGAATAATACCATTTACCAGTGCTAAAAAAATAAAAAATAAAAAACCTAAAGTTATGTAAGAATTCGTAATAAAACTCAATAGAATTGTGAAGCATCAACTGAAATAACTGTTAGCCCAGAGACGACGTGAGCCATCGGCTCTTGTCTCATCTCTAGTTTTAAATTCCGGCCTGGTTTGGTGGATAATTTGAGACTCCGCTAATCTAGACTTATAAGTGGGTCAGGTAAAATTTTAATTATAATTTATTAATTATTTTTTTATTAAAAAAATATTATTTTAATTTTTTTTTAAATTAAAATGAAGTCAAATGAGTCAGTGACTCCATTATTTTAATTTTTTAAAAAATTAAAATTGACTCAGATAATTCAGTGACTCAATCAAAACCAAGTGACCCATTTTTGCAAGGCTTGCCTTTTTTTACTCAGTTGAATATGTAAATAAAATATTGAATCTAGTTAATACAATATTTTAAAAAAAAATACTAAATGATAAATATAATATATTCTTAAATATGAGGTGACCAAATTAGGATTTGGATATGGACGAACATTTATAAAATTCCAATCTAATTATAAAATTCCAGCTCTTGAACCCATCCCTGTCAGATTTAAAGACAATCATTAATTAATAGATGATATTATAATTAACCTGATAGCTACCTGCAAAAATAATCAATTATTCATGGTTGTTATTTCTTACATTTACAGTCTTTCCAGGGTAGTCAACCTGGCAGCGAGGTTCGTATATATCAATTCCCATGCCGTGATGGTTGGTTAATCCAATAAGCAACTCCAGTGACCGTGTTGATCCTTGTTAAACACTCTTTGTGTTGAAAAAATAAAGAAAGAAAAGAAACATTATTCATCTGTAATTATAACATTACAAAAGGGAAATATGTCATATTTGATTTGGTGCTCAAAATATGTAACTTGACATGGTTCTTGTAATAACCCTTCGCAACAGTGTTTGTATAAATAAAAATCATCATTGTTGTTTACTGGCACTCCTACGGCTCTAACCCAATTCATGTACTGTGGTCTCTTTTCAAAGTCAAGATAATTGTTGCTTAATGTCAAGATTAAGCGAATTATGTACTTTCTGGCCTAAAAAATCTAAAAATCAAGTCCCTAAGAATTACAAACAGTTTTTAGCATTGCTTAGATTTTTCTTAGTTGGGAAACAAGTTAAAACACAATCTTGGAGACAGAAATATACAGGCATATACCTGAAATACATGCTCACTATAAACCCTAAGAGAAATCTGCACAGCTTGATAACCTTCATCACTAAATGCATATGTTTGACAGACAGTAAGACCTATAGCAACAGCCGCATGAAACACATTGGATACTTTGTACCTTTGACTTGGCTGCGCTGTAGCATTCATAATCCAATAGGAGTTTAACCCATTGAAAAGCAATGGAAAGCCATTTAGGACAAATTAAGTGTTTGTAATTTGAATGAATCCAGACATAAGAAGCCCATCTTCACAAGTAACAAAGGCTAAAAGCAATATAATAGTACCAAAAGAAATGCAAAGCTTGCATCTCTAAAGCTTGTCATCTTGCTTGAAATTTATGTTTTAATTTGCCTTTGGTTTATTCGAACTTGAAAGGATGGATGTGAGGAGAAGTTGGGGAGATGTGGTGTCTGTTTGTAAAAGTGAATGGTGATGAGCATATAGAGGTTCTTAATCTAATATATATGGAATGTTTTAGAGATTGAAAAAACTATTTATTTACATTTTAGGAAAAGAAAAACATACAAAAATTAAATTTGGATAATGTTATTTAAAAGAAATAAAATTAGTGAGGAATTTATAAGATGTAGCAGAAATGATTGAGGATCATCCTTAAAATGATGGTGGCTAAGCATGGTCAATTTAAAAAATAAATTATCACTAGCCCAATTCATTTTTATTAATTGATGTTGCGTTTACAATGTTTATGAATTGTTTAGGTTAATAGTAATTAGGTTGATTAAATATATTAAAATCTTCCATTTAATAAGTGCAAGTAGAGATAACAATTTAATATTGGCTTGATGGGCATTGATCCATTCATGATATCCATGAATATCATCATACATCACCTGAAACCCGAAATATATATTTATATTATATAAATATATTTGTAGAATACTTGATTTTTTTAATATGATATGAAATATATATATATATATATATATAATTTTATTTTTTATTAATTGACATGCAATTATTAAAGGGTCTTTCAGGAGACGAAGCTTTATCCTTTTAGTTTGGTCTATCATTACAAAAGCATTCCCAAAGTCTTTATGTAAGAATTTAGACCTTTTTTGATTGCTTGCAATGACTTGGCAAAGTTCTTGCTAGGCAGGCGGGACTTGGAAAACACCTTCAAACTACATGACTTTGGAAAGGAAAAGAATAGCAAGAATCATGACTTTGGCTCGTCTGCCGTTTGCCATGGTCCGTGATGCGAAACCAAGACTGACGGCAGAAAATCTCAGGGGCTTGGTTAAGTTGCTGAACACTTACTAATTGCTTTATAGATTTCTTGGGTCAGCCTGAATGTTCAAACATCTACCAAGGCAGGAGGGAAGAAAAGAGGATGAAGATGACAATTTCTTTAAGAAATCTTGTTTCTAATTATTTATTACACTGCAAAATATTTTACTGTAATTCCAAACAGCTCTAAATATCTGACTCATATTTCATGTGTTACTTTTTGAAATGTAATAACTTTTTCTTGGAATAAACTAGTGGATTTTAAATTAGTTGTCTGACAAAACAACCAGGGATGGCCGGCAAGGGCCCCTGCCCCGTGCAATTTGTTTTTCCTTGTCTCTTTCTTGTATAATTATAACTTTTAGCCCTAAAATTATTAAATCTTAACTTTTGCCCCTTTTAATTTCTTTTTTAATTTGATCCATAAATCTAATGTACCGGCTCCGCCCCCTCAAAACTGCCTAAAAACTAAAAAGTATAAGACCATTTACCAGTCCTATGAAAAAAATAAATTACTAATGTTAAGTAAGAATTCATAACAAAACTCAATAGAATTGTGCAGCATCAATTTGTATAGAAACAATTGCTGGGCTTGCCTTTTGTTACCCAGTTCAACATATAAATAAAATATTGAATCTAGTGAACACCACTTTTTTTATAAAAAAAAATGAATGATAAATACAATTATCATTCAATTTAATCTAGATTCTTGAATCTGAGCTGAACCAATTAGGATTTGGATATGGACCAACATTTATAAAATTCCAATCTAATTAGAAAGATCCTCACCGATATTTTTATTAAACAAGTTGACAATTATAATTTATGAATACAATTACAATCTAATTCAAATACTTCATTGTTAAAAATATCTAACATATTTTATAATTTCTAAATTACACCTAATCGATAATTTATATTTTTAGAAAGGATTAGTTGTGCTTAATTCAGATATTCGATCCTCATTATTTTTTTATTTCTTGAAAAAAAAAAGAGTAAAATATACGCTAATACAATTTTTAGATTTACCGATAAAAAATATTAGAAAGATCCTCACCGATATTTTTATTTCTTGAAAAAAAAAGTAAAATATACGCTACCATAATTTTTAGATTTACTAATAAAAACTATTTGCACTACTATTCTATTGGTAAAAATTTTACCGATGAAATCATCAATGAAAAGTTTCCACTATAATTTTATTGGTAAAAATAGTATGTTATTATTTTTTTTAATTATTTTTTCTTTACTATAATTTTCTCGATAAATACTGAGAAAATATTTCTATCAGTAAAATCTATTGATAATTTATCATCTTAAATGGTTAAATTGCTTTTAGTTTTTGTTATATTTGATAAGAAATACCTCCCTTTATTTTCTTTTTCCAAGTTTCTTTAAATATAGCTTTTCATGAGAGTGAGATTTATTTGATTTTGACAATTTATCTAACAATAATTAGATCCATATGAGTAGCTCTTACATTGGTTAATGTTGTTAAGAAAATTCATTAAAGCCGATTATATGGATATGGATTTTATCATTTGCTTTTGAAGAGATGATATATTTACATCTAACTAATTACAAAAGTATTTGAGCTTTATACCCGGGGTTAGATGTCCATAAATAGAAAAGATGTAATGTTTTTCACCAAATATATAACCACTTGGGGTTAATACATCATTTATACTTAGGTTCATGTTGGGTACAAAGTTATTTATAGGGGTTAAAATTTACTCTTGTAGTATTTAAGTATGTTGGGTTGAATTTTTGTTGAGAAGTTTTAATAAGAAAATTTTTGTTTTTGCTGTTGAAAAATATTTTTGTCAAAATTTGAATTTTTTATTTATTTTAAATTAATATTTTTACATTATTTTAATGTATCGATGTAAAAAAAATTAAAATATTTTTAAATAAAAAAAAACCTTAAAAATAATCGTTACCAGAATATTAAACCAATTTTAAACAAAAACAAATGAGTTTTTTTTACCTTAGCATAGTTGGAAAGAGTTAGAAATATAACATATATCATAAGATATTTAGAAAAATAGCATTACTTAGATGCTACTTGTGAGTCAGATATATTATAAAAATATTCTAAGAGAAGAGAGGAAAGAAAAAAAATCTCAAAAATATATTAAAATTTCAATAAAATCATTATCATTATTATTATTATTATTATAAAAAATATCTTGTCAAGATAAATTTAACAATATTAAAAAAATTATGAGCATTTAATAATATTAAAAAAACATTTATCAATAATTTTCAGGTAATAACATGGACAACTCATGCAAATATGGCAACATCCTCAACAATTCTCTAATTTTTTGGTAGTGATATAAAATTTTTTTTCACGTTTTTGTATGATTTTGCACATGAAAGATCATTTAATTCGCAGAGACTTCTTCCAAGAAAAGTCGAAGTCCGCCACTGTAGGAAACCTATCCACATCTAATTTCTGCAAACAAAATTCCATTGTATGTCAAGTGGGTCACATGCATAATTTTTGTAACATGCTAACTTTGAAAACCAGCAATCCTCTCTCCAAACCCTTAGGTCGGAACCCTAATCCTGTTCAACTCCAGGTTTTTCAAGGCATTCATGTGCTCGTCAAAGGCTATAAGGTGAGATGCACCAATAATGTCGTTTCCCTCTGAAATTTCTTGACGAAAACAAGGAAAAAAGTGAAAGGAGTTCTGGCTTAGCCCTGAAGCGTTGAAATTAACAAAGGAAAGGTAGGATAGGAAAGGGATCCCAAGAAGAAGAGAATCAAATATTAATTTAAATTAAATAAAAAATTAAAAAATTTAATTTTTTTTAAAACACTTTTAAAAAATAAGAACAAATATCTTCAAAATAGTTTATGTGTCCATGAAAACAACATATCATTTACTAAGATCTTAAAAGTATATTTTCTCTACACCGTGTACTTAAAAAGAGTGAATCTTGATGATGATAACTTCGAGATTCAAACTCAAAATTAAGAGAAAAGATGAAAATCTCTTTACCAATCCTGGATTGTCCTAACGAGGCATTGAAACTCCACCAGCCTAGTCTAAGCATCAGAGATAAAGATTATGTTAGCTTTCGGTTGCTTTCGAAGGTAAGCTATTAAGAAAATCTATTTTTTCTTCTATTTCTTTTTCTTTACCTTTGAATCCATAGGCAAGCACCGAAGGTTGCTTTGATTATCTAAAATGAATAACAGATCCCACCAAAGATCAGTCCAATAATAGCACTGACTGGTAAATAGTGCAAGACTTATTCGTGAATCTCTGCTATTTGAAATTTGAAACATCATAACAATGAAGACTTTCAATCTCTGCTATTTGAATTTGAAACATCATAACTAATATGTCTCACCGTTTTCAAACATCATAATAATATCAATGGTCGTTGCTTTCATAACCCATTGACATAATCAAGCTAAGGAGCATGTAAATTGACTCACATTAATAAAAAGAGTGAATTATAACTTGTTAAAATGATATATTAAAAAAAATATCATGAAAATACATAACAAATATATTTCAAAACGTAGAGACATATTAGTCTAATGAAGGTATTTCCATTCTATGCTAACATTGAAAAGTACAATATTAAAACAAAAAAATAAAAAAAATGCTTGCAAGAAAATAAAAGCTTGTCGTCATATTAAAATATAATTATTTAATCCCTATGATTTTAAATCTTTAATTAACATATTTTTATTTTATTAATTTCATATCTTTTTTTAATTTTTTTAAAAATAAAAATTTAAGTACATAGGATGCAAATATATATATATATGAGAAAAAAGGTATATTTGTTAGCAAATGACTTAATTAACCTTTGTAAATTCTAGTAAAAATCATTAATTTTGCTAAACTACAAGGTATAAATTTTAACAACAACAACAATAATATACTAAGATATGTACTTGCACTCAAATATAAGTAAGTTTGTTAAATTATGCAAAAGGAAAAGAAGAATAAATTAATCTTGGATTGGTACATGAAATGAACACCATCACAGATAAAGATAAATAAGAGAATAACCCAATTGTCATCTTCAATTTTTTTTGGACTCGGCAGCAATTCGCCCCACTATATCCTTGTCAAAATAATTATTAAATTATTTCTACCGTGAAACCCAAGTGTCACATTAAACATACCTTCTCGGTGCTCTACGGGCTTGCAACCTTGCTCTTTGGGCTTGCATCCTTGCTATAACGGCTGGCAACTTGCGACCTTGCTCTATATGCAACCTTGTTTCTAATCCATGTTTATCTTTGGCATCCAGTAGACGAACCCCACACTCGCGTACTTGACAAACATCTGATGCTAAGAGAATACCGTTCATATCTTCCGGTTGGAATTCAACTGAAACCTCACTGTATTTACTCAGCATATCATTTTCTTTGACAACCAGACAGGGATCAAATCCCACAAATATGTGCTCTGAGCAGATGCGCCTCTCATCATACCAACCATGGAGATAGCAATAGAGATCATGGCTATCACCGTGCTCATTGCGGAAGTGATATGTGCATTTGACTTGCAACTCAAAGTTGAAAGAATAAGATGCAATGACAGCGCAAAGAGAGAAACCCAAGAACTCGCTATTAGCCCACTGTGAAGATAGCTGGAATGTTACTGTAGAGCTCCAATTTTGATGGCTAAACCACTTCGGAGTCGCATCTCCAGTGAGGCAGAAACTAGATACCCTTTTTGAAAAATCGGGCTCCTCCTGTTAACAAAATTTAAATAGCATCTATTTAAAATGAGACATGACAAATAGAGAAGGAAAATAAAAAAGCATAACAGAGGTTTGAGAAGCAGACCTGACGGTATAGCTCTTTGGGATGAAGTTGAAATTTAAATAATGAGTACTCCAAGAATTCATAGATCCTACGCATGACAGAATAATCTTCCCATCTCATGCTATGCAACCTTGCTCTCGTAGCTTGGAACATTGCTTCCAATGCATCACAATAATTGTCGATGCAATGTATCTTATAATTATACAGTAGACGGACCTCACACTCGTTTACTTGACAAAGATCCAATGGTAAGAGATTGCCATTCATATCTTCTAGTTGGAATTCAACTGAGACCTCACTGTATTCACTAAACATATAATCTTCTTTGGCAACCAGGCAGGGATCAAATCCCACGAGTATGTGATCTGAGTCAATGCGCTTCTCATCATACCAACCATGGAGATAGCAATAGAGATCGTGGCTATCACCGTGCTCATTGCTGAAGTGATATGTGCATTTAACTTGCAAACTATGACTGAAAGAATGAAATGCAATGACAGCGTAAAAAAAGAAATCCAAGAACTTGCTATTAGCCCAATGTGAAGACAGCTGGTATGTTACTGTAGTTCCCCAACTTTGATGGCTAAACCACTCCGGAGAGACACCTCTAGGGAGGCAGAAACTACATGCCCCTTCTGGAACATTGGGCAGCTGCTAACACAATTCATATAGCATCTTTTTAAAATGAAAGGTGGCAAATAGAGAGAAAAAAAGATGTATATCAGAGGTTTGAAAAACAGACCTGATGGAGCCTTTTGGTATAAAGTTGAAATTTCAATAATGAGTACTCCAAGATTCCATTGGTCTTATGCAACCTCAAGCAATTAATGAAAATGAATTCAAAAATGTTCCCCTTAACTACATTTGATGAGCTTAATTCTAGATAATTCAAACTCTCGCAATTGTCTGCATCCAACTTTGATAGCCGTGGTGGAAGCTCCGGTAATGATTCAAGTCTCTTGCAATTCCTTAATCCTAGATATTGCAACTCCAAGATTTTATTGATGCTTATAGGTATAGTCTTAAAATTGTTTCCACTTAGAACTAACACTTCCAGTGACGATAGACAACCAAGACTGTCTGGCACTACCGATATATGGCAACCATCTAGATTTAGCTTACGCAGATAATATAAATCCACCCATCTCATTTGCAAGTCAACAAAACATGCGATGTCTTTTAGATATTTGCAGTTTCCCACTTCCAAGCAGGCAAGTCCCATCAGATTTCCAATCGGTGAAGGCAACTTTGTTATGCATGTCTCTTCTAGATAGAGATATCTCAAACATACCATCGGCTCCAAAACTTCTGGAAAATCCCTAAATTGGAGGCAACCTGAGAGATTAAGCCTCTCCAGTTTTCTCAACTTGCAGATGCTGCTTGGAAGAATCTCAAATTGTTTGCAGTTTCGCAGGTGCAATTCAGCAAGATAAAACAAACATTCTATTGAAGAGGGAATCCCTCGTATTGCTGTCCCATTTAAATACAGCTACTCTATATTATTAGAAACCTTTGGAAACTCCGTGATACTTAAGCAACCGGAAAGATCAAGTTTTTTAAGGCATCCCAACTTAGAAACCGCACTCGGCAGATTCTTTAGCCTGTTGCAGCCACCTAGATCTAAATAAATGAGTTCCCTTAGACCATAAATTGAAGATGGCAGTTCTTCTATTGCAGTTCCATTCAAGTACAAGTATCTTATATTCCTCGAAAAATCAGGAAGCCTGCTGATAGATGGGCAGCCAGAGAAGTCAGCAATTAGAAGACATTTCAACAAATATATGTTTTCTGGAAGATTAACCAGGTGTTTGCAGTTCTTCAAATTCAACGCAACAGGTCCACTTTGTTCCCCAATTGATTGGGGAAGCTCTTCCAACAGCAGTCTCATTTAAATTTAAATATGTCAATTTCCTTGCTCGGCACTCATTGAGATTTGAGCAACCAGAAAGATTCAGATTCTCCAGGAAACTTGAATTAATTCCATGGGAAGATTGATTAGTCTTTTGCAGCCTCTCAAATCTAAATCATTAAGGTTGTCAAGATGGATTTTCTTTTTTATAGTAAAGTAATTTTTCTAGAAATCATTCCAGTGGATGGATGTGTATTGAAAGATCTGCTCTTTGTCATCTTGAATTTGTTTGAGAATTCCGCCATAACCTAGGTCAGAGATATCAGTCTTGACTATCTTAAGAGCTAATGGGTTGGCTAAATGGAGAAGAGGAATGGTCTGAATCTGCCTTTTAATCTGTTTGACTAAGTTGGTATGGAGGTTGGATCAAGAAATGGGGTTTGTTTTTAACCTGTCATGTAAAGGTTTGACTAAATGGCTAATATTAGTGTAATAGTCTAGAACATAATTAAAACTGTCTAAAAACCTTTATAATTGTGTTTTATCGGTGATCTTATTAGAAAATTTATTTGCAAAGATCTCTCTATTAGAGTTACATTGCATTGGCAAATATAATGGTCTAGGAAACAAACACGAGTTTGGAAGAGAAAAATTTTTGTTTTAGAAACAACTAAACCATTTTGTTTTGCAGCATGGAAGAAAGTAAATAGATGTTTGAAATGTTGATCTATGAAATGTGAAAAAATAAGTACATCATCAATTTAAACAATGCAAAATTTTGAGTATGCATTAAAAATGTCGTTCATAATGCAGTGAAATTCAGATGGAGCATTTTTTAGTCTAAATGACATTACATTCCATTCGTATTGGCCAAAAAAAGTATAAAAGCAATCTTGTAACTATTTTTAGGATCAATCTGGAGTTGCCAAAATCCAGATTTCATATCGAACTTAGAAAATATGAATGCAGAATGTAATTTTTATAATAATTTTTTTTGTTAGGGACTGGATATCTGATCTATTTGAGAGCAAAATTTAGAAGTTTGTAATTAATCACAAGTCTTGGTGTGCCTTTTTTTATTTCAGAGTTTTTATTTACATAAAAGGCTGCACACGACCAAGGTGATCAAGACTTTTGGATAAGACCTTTAAACTCGAGATCGTGGATTTCAAGTCTGTAATGTTGTTCTAAATCAGCATTTATTTATAT